AATGAAACAAAAATGTAATTATGTACTGAAAATTGTAATATAATGATTATAACACGACAAAGAAATATTTATCATGGATTATCACCTATGGATTGAATGTACCTATATACTAAAATAACTACATTCTACATTCTACATTTTAAAAATTTCCAGAATAATAAGGATCTGGTTGTCTGTTTGACATCTTGAACTATAAAAATAAATCAGACAAAAAACACAGTTTATAATAAAAAAAAAAACGAACCAAATAGAATACCTATAAATTTCCTTTTAAATTATTTTAATATAATATGTAAAACATAATATTCAATCTGTCTTGGGCTACAATCAATAGGATAGTATTTTTGTTTTAATCATTTAATTATGTTGTACTTTTGTAGTATCAAGTTTATCAAGTAAATTAATAGTTGTATACTTGTACCTATTTAAAAACTAAAAAGCAAACACAAATGACAAATTATATTCCATTTTGTGTTCTGTTACATTTATCTAGTGGCCATGGTGACATTTATATAAAAAAGTTCAGTTTATAAAAAGGCATTTGTTGTTTAATACAAAGACTTTTATAAGTCTAGGTACGAACGTGTAATTTAATAAATAATCTGAAAACAATTAAATCATTAGTACCTAAGTAACATTTTATGTAGTACATAATTTTATGCAGAACCTACCTATTTGGAAAAATGTATAGTTGTTAATTTAAAATCACATAACAATGAATTACAATTAATAGTGTGATTTTTAAGATTAAGGTTTTAAACAACTATCTACATAATATTATATTATATGCAAGAAAATGATGTAATTTACCATACTTTATTATGTCACTAATCGGAGAGTACATTAATTTATTTATGATAGACTAATGCATGTACACTCCCGCTGACAGTAAATTGCGGACGGGTTTTATTTATTTTATATTTTTATCTATTTTTACCTTTTTCATATTTGTCCTTTTTAATATTTAAATCAATATTATTAGTTATTACTAATCTCAATTAAAAATAAAATTATTTTATTTTATTCACATACCCAATATTACACATTTCTTGTGAAATATTATTTTGAACTTAGTTTTGACTTTTGTTTTAAAGTCCATTTTCAATTTTCAATTTACAAAATATTTAAAACCTTAAAAATACGCCCACGAAAATTATACGCCCGGGATAATCCCCGACTTCCCCAGTCCCCCCCCCTAGATCCGGCCCTGGTTACATAGTTGAAATAGTAGTACCTACAATGATAAGATATATTTTGTACAAACAAACAAATGAATTGACAGTGATTGTAAAACCGTAATGAATACATAAAACCGTGTTTAGAATAATTAGTTAAAAATGCAATAGTTAAGTTACATTATGTACTTAACATTAGGTATATTTTTTCTATATAAAAAATTTAATAGTTAAATTACATATATACACATTATAATATATTTTTTTATATACAGGCATGCAATTAGTAAGAAATGCAATAGTTAAATTACAATTATGTACATGACATTATACTTTTTTTTAAAATAAACAATTAATCAGGTAAAAATACAATAGTTAAAATACAACGATGAAGGGACATGACATAATATAATGGTATAAAAATTTAGTAGTAAAAATATTCATAGATACAGTCAAGTAATATTATAAAAATTTAAAAAAACCAGTAACTATAACTTGTAAAATAACGTAAGAAAATTGAAAAAAAACATGCTTACCTACATAAATACATATAATATTAATACATAAAAAATGAAATATGGTAGATTAATTAACAAAAATTGAACGTACATACACAAAGTGAAGTTAAAATAATAATAATAGTAAAGAGAAAAGATCGGAAATTTGTAAATTTACGGGAAAAAAATGCAAAAAATATTCAGGATTCGGGCGGCCGTGTAAACCATATGGTAATGACCACAACGACGCCCCGAAAGCGTACGACGGATTCGAACCCGGGACCTACGTGATTTCTACCTAACGCCTAACCCACTCGGACACAATTTGAGATGTGAAATACGGTCAAAACATCAACACTTAAGCCGTGCGTCTACGGAGCGACGTAAGCCGATATATTCGATGTTCATCGATGTACTCGCATATAATTCGCTTGTAATACGCGCATCTCCCATATATATATTTAACGGAGCGAGTGAAAAGCATTTCCGTTAATAATAATTAAATCAATAGGCAAAAATTAAATTATACACGTACATACATGTATATATACGCGTACGGTCGGTCGTAATTTCTAAACGCGATTGCGAAGCGAACCGACCGATTTCGTAAGAAAAGCGTATATATACGGCTTTAGAAAGACGTCAACTACACGATTCGGGCACGAACGACGTGCGAAAAGACGAAACTGTCGGAGAAAACGAAAGAAATCGGCAAAAAAGTTCGGCCGGGAGCGTATTTTGCGATCGACATTGCGACGGCTACGGACGGCGAACGGATATAAACCGCACACCGGCGGCTTCGAGAGATCGCGAGCTACGCGAATCAAATATGAATATGAGCGAAAAAGGCTAGAAAACGGTCGAAATCGTGTAAAAAGTGTAAATTTCGAAAATTTCGAAAATGATAAGAAAAGAAGTGATAACGCGGTTATTGCCCGCCGCAGAATCTGAACGTTGCGATTGGCCGGGCCGGAAAAACGACACAAAGTCGTCTATCCCCGTGGACAAAACTGGGGACTAACCTCGTTTTATAATATAAGAGAAGAGATAAGAGAAGAGATGTTCATGGTTCTGTCCTTATTGTTCTATGGTATTGTGTGTGGTGGTATTTATTAGAGAGCCTAGATAATAAATATTATATTATTTATTATATAAAGGCTCTCTAAAAAAAATAGTATTTATTTTATAGTGTTTATTATTCAGAATTTATTCTGTGTTATTAACCACTGTTCTGTGCTATGGTGAATGATAATGAATGATAATCCACTTATCAATCATGTTATCTATTCTTTGATTGGAGGGAAAATATATATTAAATAATGTAAATTTCTTAAATTTTTGAGAATTTTAGATAGTAGAGATTATATTATTATTATTTCATTATTACATTTTAATATTTTATACATAATACACTATAATATAGTGGTTGACTGGTATATGGCAATGTGTTATGTGTGTCGTGTGTGGTGCGTTATAATTTAATATGTAAATTATTTTTATGGTTTAAAATGTGTAACAATTTTTGTGGTACTTAATGATTACAGTTAATTCAATATCGCAAATGTTTAAAATACTTTAAATCTTTATTGAAACTAATACAATTACGATAAGTTTTGAATACAGGATCCATGTATTTAATTGTCGAATGACATTACACCAATACATCTATTATAATTTAATTACATATTTTTGTCAGTTTGTTCTTGTCAGACAACTCCGAGGACAACTCTTAACATAGAATATTTTGTGACACGTTGAAACGCTTCTAGAAGTACAATTTAACTAAATGTATTGTTGGAGTATTTAGTAAACACTAGGTAGGTATACTAAATATTTGTGATTGTTAATTTAAGTTTTTAAATTTCCCACGGTTAAATAACATTACAATTTTCTAATAGATTAGGTTACAAAATACACTGATACCTCTGAGAAATATAGTGCCAATGGGCATTGCATCTTGTATAGGTTATCGTTTTCACATAGGTATCCACATTTTTCTTTAGGGATCAAATTCATTAATTTTTTATTATTTTAATTAATTTAGTTTAAAGAATTGATACAATTATAAAACCTGTTGAATAATATATTGTTGGGTAAGAACGGAAGTGATCTATTTCAGTTGTGTGCAACACGTATTGCAGGCGAGGGTGGCTGCTTTTCGTTCAAGACTGAAATTGCTTTCCCATACAAGCTACACATTGTACTAAAACGACGTAAGGTAATCTGGTTTTCAAATAAAACAATTCACAAATTTATCTGAAGAAAAACAGGGCCAAATCCCAGGGAATTTTGTTAGGAAATTGTTTAGTTTTTAAAAATGAATTTTTTGATATTTTTAAGGGCATTTAAATCCGAGCCCTAAGTATTAAATATTATGCATATTATTATACATATTTGATATGCTATTGGAAAGCTCTAAAAATTCTTGGTTACAATCTTTGTCACTCATCCATCTTCGATTGCCCCAAATGCCTTCTCTCACTTTATACTACCCTAATCCAGCGAGTATTGTAGTAGGGAAGTATAATCTGGTTATTGTAATTTTCAGTTGACATAACAATAATGAATCGGTTCCAAAATAGGTTCTTGAGCTTCTCCAGATTTACTTTGAAAATCATTCATATTACCCATGACTACATCCCATGACCAAATGTATTGAGTCACTACACCAGAAGTATAAAAGTGTTGGTCCATGTTTTATCCTAGGATTATTGAACTATTGGTTTAGTAGTCACATTAATGCACCAATAGGTGCTATTGGAGCAGCTTAGCATCCAGGTTCAAGATTCTACCAGGTCTCAGGATCAATTCTATTTACCTACTAGCCGAAAAACTTCTCCACATTTTCTCCTCTAAAACGCCTGATGGGGTTGTTCAATGGTTGATGTTTCGTACTGTGTTTCACCAGTAGATTATGATTGTTATCAATTTAGTTATAATTAAATTAACTTTCCTGGTATTATTAATTGTACACATCAAAAAATTGCTTTAAAAAATTCTTTTGGCATCAGTTCACATATATATTAAATATAATATATAGGTTTCAATAAATATATAAATATTAATCTAATTTGTACATTAAATTTTTTAGCTAATCCCTCCCTCCCTCTGTGCTGAAAAAAGTAATTTTGCAACTTTTCAACAGGCATCAAAAATTAAACTTTTGGTGTACATGTAATCAAAAATATATTTACTTATTTTATAATATACTAATAATCTAATTAAAAATATAATCTTATATCTAATATGATGTATAAATAACAAATTGTTTAACAGATATTTGAAGTTCAATTTAAAGTAATTCAAAGTTAAAAGATTTACATATAACATGTCAAGTTTAACTGAAGAACAGCGTAAAATGATTGAAGCTAATAGAAAAGCTGCACAAGCCAAATTAGCAGCAAAATTGGCGCTTAAAAGTACACCTCAGCAAGCTATGAGTAATAATAATCAATGCACATTATCAAAAGCTGGATTGGTTGTATCGCCATCACCTAATGGAAAATCTGTCCGTATAAATTATAATCATAGTCTGCAGAATTCTAAATCGAAACCTGTTTGTGGTACTTGTGAAATGACATCAAAAGAACGGTTTACTGTTCATGTTACCTATCATCAACAATTAATCGATACTTTTAAAACAATATCAAGTAAAAATTATGGTAAGGTAAACTTGTGTAATGTAATTACTAATTTTACATAAATATTAAATTTTTAATAATGAGAAGTTGATATTTTTAGACCCAAAAACATCAGAATGGTCATTCCTAATAAAAGACCATGATCAGCTTATGATAAGTATTAAACCTCTTGAGCCTGATGTCAAAATAGAAAAGTTACCACGTTTTATTTTAAAAGTACTGAATTTCTCTATGAAATGGTATCTGTATCAATACAACTAATATCCATTCTTATTAATTTCAGTTGTTTAAGACTAAAGAAGATATTGAAACACATTGGTCAAAAGTTGACATAAGCAGTATTGGTGATGATATGATGAATAGTCTTTATCCATTTCAAAAACTTGGAGTCCAGTTAGTTTCAATTTTATTTTTTTTTTTATTTTTTTTTAAAACAAATAAATTATAAATTAATTGAATGATAAATGTATTTAATTAGGTTTGGAATATCTAAAAAAGGTCGTTGTCTTATTGCAGATGATATGGGTTTAGGAAAGACCTTACAAGCAATTGGAATTGTAAAATATTACTCAGATAATTTTCCTTTACTCATTGTTTGTCCTTCAAGTATGAGGTAAATGAAAGAGATTTAGGGCCAGTTGTACCGTCTACAGTTACACTTTGATTACGCTTAATCAGCTGATAACAGATTTATAACCGGGAAAATTCGGCCAGTTAAACTTTGATTAACTTTAATCGGAGAAGGTACAACTGGCCCTTACACTCTTATTGTATTTAGGTATTATTACTGTTTTATTGTTTATTTATTAATGTTGGCTCAATAAATACTATTTGTATTGCCTTATTAGGTACACATGGGAAGAAGAAATTCGTTTAAGAATGCCAAATGTTCCAATAACTGGGATTTATGTATTATCTAAGTCAAATGAACAATTAATTGATCCAGTTGTGGTTATTACTTCATATGATTTAATGAGCAAAACAAAAGATATGCTTATAAAATTTAAATTTGGAATTATTGTATTTGTAAGATATTTTAGTAAACATTTTTAAATCATACTTAAATTTCAGTAAAATTAGACCAAATGTATAAATGTAATAAATTTTACTGAATTTATTTGTAAAGGACGAAAGCCACAGTTTAAAAAGTGAAAAATCAGCCCGAACAAGAGTTGCACTTTCTCTTGCAATGCAAAGTAAGCAGTGTATATTGTTAAGTGGTACTCCTGCTTTGTCAAGACCGATTGAACTCTATAGTCAGATAAAAGCAATAACACGAAATAATTTTATGTCTCCGTAAGTTGAAGAGTGTTTATCCACATATTATTTTAACATTTTTATTTTGTGGATAATAATTAATATTTATTACAACCATACTATATACATGTTGTTTCAAAAGTCTTCATCCGATTACAAACTGATATAGTTCAGCAACGGTTAATTGCAGGTTAATGACCAATGTATTAATGGAAAGATTAGATAACCAAGTTTAATTTAAGTTATCTAGTTGATAAATTTGGCACCGTAATGGTTAGTGAACTAGGAACCTTTAGTTTGTACTTTGTTTCGTTATGGCAAACCCGCAACAGAAAGCGTTTTGCGTCCTACGGTTCAAGAAGTGCGAGTGCCGGTAATAACCGGTTCAACATGATTTTTGAAAAACATATTATGGAACTGAAGCTCTAACTGCTCAAAGCATTCAACGTTGACACCAAACGTTCCAAGAAAGTGGTTGTCTGTGTGCACAGAAACGCTCAGTTCGACCTTCTACCTCTGATGAAAACATTGAGCGTGTACGACAAAGTTTCGTTCGGAGTCCACAGAAGTCTACACGTCGTGCAGGCCTAGAGCTAGATCTCCCACATGCCAAACAGTCGAATGCTTTAAGCAGTTGGAGCTTCAGTTCTATATGTTCTTCAAAAATCATGTTGAACGGTTATTACCGACTCGCACTTACTGAAACGTAGGACCCAAAACGCTTTCTGTTGCGGAGTCGCCATAACGAACTAAACTAAGGTTCCTAGTTCACTAACCATTACAGTGCCAAATTGATCAACTAGATAACTTAAAATGAACTTGGTTATCTAATCTTTCCATTAATACATTGGTCATTAACCTGCAATTAACCGTAATCGGATGAAAACTTTTGAAACACCGTGTATTATTAGAAAATTAAAATATTATTTTATTTTATAATTTTATAACTTTTGAATAGTTATAGGTATACCTAAAAATAGAATAAGAATGTTGAGTACATTGTTAAATTGAGCTACTGTAAACAAGTAAACATAATTGAAAAAACTTGTGGGTGTACTGCACACAAATGTTATTTTATTCTACATAAGTCCTTTAATAATTAAATAATATTATATAGTTATTATTATTTAACAATATGACAATTTACTCCTTTTTCATACAAATTTTCACATTCATCTATGAAGTAACAAGTAATTAAGACTATTAACTAAGGTTTAGTTGAAATCATTTATAAGATTTGAATAACATGTATGTTGTGTAATATTGTACAATAAATTACTTCTTATAAGATATGTAGATAAGTATAGGTTCATTTTATATTTTTTTATTTGATAGGGTTACTTAATGATGTACACTCATTTTACACTATTTCATGGTACAACACTTTTTATGTCCTCCCATGAGTTCATAATTTTTTCAGTTTGTTGATCAGATGGACTTATAAATATTCAATAATTTATAACTATTTAAATGTACCTATTATGTATGAATTTAAAAATATAAATACAATTGTTAATTTTATTAGATCATACTATGCAAGTAGTGAACAAAAAATTGCAAATTTTTATTATTATTTTTGTATTCTATTTCACTATTCTACATGTATAAATGTTTAATCAAAATTAACATAATTTTAGGGTCGAATATGGTGTTCGTTACTGCAACGGACGAGAAACAATTTATGGTTGGGACTTTTCAGGTGCTACTAATATGAAAGAGTTGAAAATTATTCTAGAAACTCAATTTATGATCCGTCGTTTAAAAAGTGAAGTATTAAAGCAGTTACCCCAAAAAATTAGGTATTTATTATATACTAATTATGTCGAGTTTGAATGTGTTAAGTTGGATAATTAGTCCAATTAGATATTTATTTTTAACAAGTAAACTATATCTTGAACAAAATTTAAAATTTTAATTACAGAAATGTAGTAGTTTTAAAACCAGAAAATATCGAAGCTCGGAGTCAAAACATGGATGATTTGGAAACTATGATGAACAATAAGTCTCTCAATAAAATGGAAGTTCGTGGTGCTTTATTAAAATATTTTAATCATACAGGAGAAGCCAAATTACCTGCTATTTGGTGAGTATTCGTAATGTAAATAGGCATGTTTCAATGAAATGTATATTTTATTCTGTGGACTAGTGATTAGTGGTTTTTTCAATAATTTTAATATATTAATCAGCATTAAAATGCATTGCTAGCCGCAATATATTTATTCTAAACATTTTTTTTTTATTAATTTATAATGGTTTTGTAAACCAAATAGTAATATTTTGATAACTATTCAGAATAAAAATATACCGCTTTGCACATCATGAATGAAATCTGTGGTGCTGCTTGACTCGCTTGCCTGCCGGTTTGTTAATAGTTTGTGAAACATCGTTTATCATTACCAGTATCGGTTGTGGTCAGGGATGGGGCCAGAACATGTTGGGCATTGAGTAAAGGTAACAGTAGTGGGTGTAGATGCGCAAACAGGATGTGTTTTTGTCCACTGGTATGTTCTTATTCTGAATAAAGTATAGTATTTGCTAATATTATAATTGTTAAGAATTTTGATCTGTATTAATTTGTATATTAAAATAATAAAATATACTTTTTAGAAGTTTTTTAATGATTTGTTTATAAAAATGATTTCACTTCAAACATGGATTTATACAAAGAGTATATTATAATATTAAATGTTAAAGTGACTAACAATAATTGTTTAATACCCATAGAAATAATATTATGAACAAAATGTATGATCTCTGACCTTTGCCTTAAAGCATGAGTTTATTTTTCAAAAAATTATTATTCAACCTAACCTAACCTAACTTTTAAATATTGTGGACAAATAATAATTATAATTGTTATTATTATAATAATTTCTTTGTTCTTTTCATAATTTTTAAAGAAAAACATGATATAACATAAAATATTACTTTGATATTTAGTGATTATATTCTAAATTTGCTTAAAGAAGGAAAGAAATTCTTAGTATTTGCTCATCATCAAAAAGTTATTAATGGTATATGTGATGTCCTAGAGAACAATGAAACTTAGTGAGTAAAACCACATATTGTGATGCATGTTGATTCTCCATGTTTGTACCATTTATTTTTATTGTTTTTCATGAATTGTGCAATTAGTTACATTCGAATTGATGGTAAAACATCATCAGAAGAAAGAAAAAGTGTGTGTGACCAATTCCAAAGTGAAGATATGTATAGGGTAGCCGTTCTGTCAATTTGTGCAGCGAACTCTGGTATTACTCTAACTGCTGCAAAGCTTGTTATATTCGCTGAACTCTACTGGAATCCTGGTGTAAGAAGAACTGATCACAACATTGAAATGTATAACTGATTTAAAAAAAAATTATTTTCAGATATTAACACAAGCTGAAGACCGAGCTCATCGTATTGGTCAATCAGAAACAGTAACCATACAATATCTTTTGGCAAAAGGTACGGCAGATGATCATATTTGGCCATTGATCCAGTCCAAATTAAGTGTTTTAAACAAAGCTGGTCTTAGTAAAGATAACTTTAAAGATGACAGCACCACAGTTATTGTGAGTATTTTAGCGTGTTGAACATTATAATTTGTAATAATATTTATGTATTATTTATTACTGTTTTAATTAGAATTGTTCAACTAAATTAAAACAAATGAACATTCTCGATTTCTTAAATGACGATAATGATGAACTAGATGAGAGTGATTTGAAATTTTTGGATGAAGTTGAAGAATCGCAATGCAAACGTCCACGCAAATGTTAAATAAATTTTTTTTTTTATTAGTTTTTCTATCAAAGTAAATAAGGAAATCATATCACCATAATATAGTAATAACATATTATGTTGAATATTTATATACAAAATGAATGTACTTGCCAAGTGAATAAAAATAATTTTGTTGAATATCTTAGTTTATTAATGTATTTTAGGAATACAATTTCCCTTCTAACTAAATCTAACGTATTACAATAGGTGTTATTTATATGATGGTAATAAATAATAATACTTGAATATAGACAAATTTTTATCTTAGGCAGATCAGTATTATCTCACTTTTATTTACTTATTAATAATTTAAATATAACATGCTTCCTCAAGATCTATAGCTATCACCCTGGTAGTAAAATCTATCCCCTAAAATCAGTGTGTTGCTATTGATTTTATAATCTATACTATAATATTATTGTAAGATGGGAAAACAGGATGGTTCCAAAGGTGCCGTGGACGAATCACACGCTAACAAGTCATGGGTGCTTCCAGTACTACCTTCACCGCGTCTGCAGGGCTGCTAGCCCACGCTGCATGCACTGCCCCTACGGGTCCGACACCGCTGAAAACACACTATATTCCGTCGCCAGAACTGTGTGGGTCGGCGTCCTAAGGTTGAATATATGCCCACATCCTGTGTGGCCCTATCTTCGAAGATCCTGTCGATCAACCGGAGAGGGGACTCGCTCTCAAAGAAGCGGAAGAGACGTTCAGGATCTTCTACATTCTACAAGATGGTCGAGGGAATCCTGATTCCTGACACTGAAGGAGGAAGAAGAGAGGATGAACAGTTGTCTGAGGCTGTCGATGAATAATCAGTAGTCAGTTACAGTAATCGAGAGTGGCTGGTCTGAGAAGAGAACCTACTGAAAACTGAACGCGATGTCTAGGGCGACTGACATAGAACACTGTAAATTCAATATAACTATCTGTCTATCTCTGTGAAGGGGTATAGTGGGACATGTACCGTCTATCCGCTTATGGCCCAGTGCCATTTGTTAATGATTGTTAGCTCTCATGACTCTGTGGTCTATGCATACATAACATTGCCGCTGAGGAAAGTAGATCCCGGCCCATGAGAGAATAACAAAGTTGTACAAATTATTGATTTTGATTAACGATGCTACATGGGAGTTAAGCCATGTGTAAAAACCGTTAAGACTCAATCCCCCATCTAGTGATGCAACTAGGGGAAAAAAAGGGTATTATATTATTATAGCGATGACGATTGACGATGGACAATAATAATCATTATTACACAACGGTCAGCGCCAAAAGCGAAACTGAACGTTTGTTGTGCATGGGGGGTGATTATGCTATTATTGTATTTGCAAATCAAAACAATAACCAACATAAGTGGTGCAACTTGATTATTATTTATAGGGGTTGAAGGCTCTGGCTCCATTATTTTGTGAACTTTATTATTTACAGTAATACAATTAATATTAACTTGTGAAATATTTCCACGCATATGGCAAATAATATAATATATATTTGTTATGTTTGATTGTAGGGGACGTTACAATGACATTTGTTGTCTCCGTATTATAAGTGCGTAACGTAGAAAATGTTACGTTCAGTACATCACGTTAATCTCCATTAATTTAAAATTTAGAGTGAATTGACTTCTTATAAAATTTAAAGATTTTTTTTTTTTATTAAAAGAATAATTACAAGCTATACATAATTTTGTACAATAAATAATTTTGTTGAGTGAAATATCGGTGAATATAACAGAGTGGAAAGGTACTCGGTAGTACCACCCGACCAAAATTTAAAACTAAGATTATTATTAAGGCAATGTCATAGGCTTTTTATTATATTTTAATTTAATAAGCGAGTTATGAGTATTTAAAAATTGTAAATTGTTTGTACATTTTAAAATACTCATAACACGCTTTAAAACTAAAATATATTGTAATAAAAAAACCTTTTGTCTAGATAATAATCTGACCTTTAAATGTTATGTTATAAGAAGTCAATTCACTCTAGTTTTTTAACTAACAGAAATAAACGTGATCTGCTGAGCGTAAAATTTGCTATTTGTACTTGTATAAGACGGTGACAACAAATATCACTGTAACGTTGTCTTAATGAATAGAGATATTTTATGGAAAATATCATAAGAAGGTATACTACAATATCCTAAATTCATAATAAATAAAGTGTGAGTTTGCACCGTCTAGAAACGCTCAACCAGTATTTTCTAAGAATTTTTCAAGAATATTATAATTTCAAAATGCTGTTTACCATCCCATTTGGTTATTACCGCACTGGTTGAGGTCGTGATCATAACGATACCCGTGCTTGATGAAGTACATAATTATAAATTTTTAGGTTTCTAAACATAATTTTAGAACCCCTTATATCCCCGTTGTGCCCATCCGTCCATTAGTTATCACTTCACTAATACATTTACGATTGTTTGAATTCATATTTTTATAACAGCAATTCTATTCAAAGTAAATTGATACTAGCCAATATTAAAAAACAGATAGGTACCTACGTAAAAAAAAATATAAAGATTACCAAACAATTATTTTTAAATTGAATCATGGAATTAAAGGAGGTTCGTTGTATTAAAATAAGTTCAGGAACCTAGAATTTAGCACACCCACAGAGTGAGATTTCCTAGCTTGTTTAGTTACCTTCGTAAATTTGAACAAACGATCTAAAATCTTAAAACAATTTGATATAATTACATTTCTAACTTCCTACAAATCTATTTGTACTTATAATATATTTGTTTTTAACACTTATACAAAATATAAATTATTTTTTAGGTACGCAAAATAGGCAAAATCATTGGAATTCGTATGACGTATTGACGCATAGTGAATAACTTTTGACCACGCACCCAAGCTGTAATGTAAATAGCTATAGTGATATAAGTATAAGTTAATTCCGTAAAAACGAAAATCCAATATTAATCCTTCACAACCGGAATAATAGTATTAAAAAAGGCGTTGTATTATAATGGAAGCAACCAAACATCCACGTGAGTATGTGAAATCGTTTTTTCCTAAATAATAAATGGTGTCCAAGACAAGGTAGTGGAGTATGGATATCGACTTATAGATATCTTATTACGCGGCCAAAGCATTAACTCGACGACGAACGTCACGTTCAGATCCGTTCCGAAGTTGGTGGTTGTAGGGGAAAACTGTGAGGCCAACATAAAACAATTTTCACGTCAGCCAACAATTCACCTAGTAAATTTCACATGACAATATTGTTGTGTATAAATTATGTGTATAACGAATCAGTTTATTATAATTCATAGGAAATAATTGCTATTTTATACCCTACGAACTCGTGATGTTGCTTCGAAGATTGATATAACACGCAATGCTTACGAAGAATGGTTCCTGTAGTAAGTTTATCTGTGTGTTAGTGACTAGGTTATCTTATACAACACTAACAACAGAAAACAGTAATCAAAAACTGTATTAGAAATGTACTTTTATAAACGATATTATATTAATGTTTGTACTTACACTAAAATAAACATATATTATACACACGAAACAATAAATTCATAATTACCTAACCTTTCGAGTACAACAATTATTTTAATTATAATTGTATAATTTAAGCCTTACGGCAGGCACGTACACAAAAAAAAATTTTGGGGGGGTCCAATGGTCCATAGTCTATATATATAATTAAATTACACAACTATTATTTTCGGGTGATTGGGGGTCCCAGACACTTCCCCCTGTATACGGTCTTCAAGGAATAACATATTTTGAAACACAGTTTTTTTTTTATTTATAATATAAAAATATGGAGCATTTATTTATCAAAGCGCTTTCTAAACAAATAATATTTTAGATTTCAGTAGGTACATCGTTCATATTATAATATTGTCATAGCTTATGATTATGATTTATGGTTATAATAATGTAATATTAGTTTTAGGAGAATTCCCATTAATCTATAGAACATACCTGCAGTTGTGTAATATTGAAAACGATAACAGTCGGTAATTTAATTTTTTTAATTTTTAGAACACATCTATTATTTCAATTACTTGTTAAAAACATTTTTTTAAACATATTTTATTTGTTAAAATAACATGTTTATTTTATTTTATTTGCAATAGCTGTAATAAATGTAGGTATGAGCTGCTTGAAATAAGTCTATAATTTCTTTCACACATTCCATATGTTATGGATTTTACACACAACACAAAATAAACGTACGCACCAATTGAAAATTAAAATAATTTATGTATTTTTTATTAAAACTGGTAGTAAAAATTAAGTGTAGCTACAATCTGTTATTCGAACACTGGTAATTCTACGACTGACTGACTCCCTGTGTGTTGTCGTGACGGTGCCCCGTCTCACATCAAAAACCCTTATTCAGCGGTTCCCACGGTGGCAGCGTCTTACGACACACACTCTGCATTATGATTGTCTATATATGTTGTTAACATATATAGATATATAAAAAATAAAATATGTACTAATCAGGGGTTCTTAACACCCCCCAGACTAAATGAGACACAGGGGTCCAATGACCACAGTGTTTCACTTAAATATTTAAGTTTCTGCAAGATTTCGAATTTTCTGTTATTTGGGGGTCAGTTCAGTTTGACAATAAAATAATAAAATATTAAAGAAAAATAATAAAAGAAAAATAAATTACACTGTGTCTTCCTAAATACCATTAGATTTTTCATGCTTCTGGTATTTCAGGGTTGTATATTTTTGTAACATTTTTTCTTAAACTAAAACTTAATATACTAAATGTTAGTATTGTTAGTATTACAATAATATAAATGACAATAACGTGAATGTTAATATTGAAAATTAACGAAGATTCAGCTAGGGTATGTGAAAGTTCATTTAACTCAACTGCTTTATTAGTCAGTTGGTTCAAATTTTGAATTAAGATTTTATTAGTGAGGTTTTGAGGAATAATTGTTTTGACTATATCTGTCAATGTGTGTAACGGATCCTTCTTAGAATTTTCTGGTATAATATCTG